AGAGAGAGAGAGAGAGAGAGAGAGAGAGAGAGAGAGAGAGAGAGAGAGAGAGAGAGAGAGAGAGAGAGTGAGAGAGAGTGAAAGTGACTAGGAGTCGGTCGAGCCGCTCGTCCTAGGAACTGGATCCTCAATCGAGATTCGATTGGGCGAGGATCACCATAGTTTACAGTGATGACTGACTCCAAAAGGAAGAAGCCCCAGAGACTACAAGCGAAGCAGAGTTTCAAGCTTCGGCTGGTACTTCCAGAAATTCGGCTGTGGAGAGGTCGTGCCCTCTGCCTTCGATTCGTGAATGCCGCCCTACGGTCTATCAGTTTGCCAGCCGCTTTATCCGTTGTGAAGCGCTTATATTTATGTCTTTAATGAGACTGCTGAATAGGCCACTGACCTGAACTTCTTCACAGCTAGCGCCCAATGTATGGGAATCACTCGCTTACAAATCTAAGCGAAGGACTCCGCACTTCATACCTTCCAAGGTGTCCCAGCACATGGCGAGATTACAGAGAGAGAGAAACAAACAAAGTTTAACAAACAAAAAAGACATTCAGATCAGCAATTGGTGCGGCACAGAGTGATGGAGATGCAAGCATGGGATGTGTTGGAGGTCTGATACATTCAAAATGTTTGATCAGTCCAAATGTATTCGGTCTACATTCCAGTCAAGATACTTTTCGAATGTTGTGTAGTGGAGCGAGGCCCATAGCGGCAGAAATCAGATGCAAATGGAGGAGGGTAAGAGAGGGTCTTCTTCGAAAGCATGGAGAGTCCGTGTACACATCTGGCAGTCCATGTACACAGTCTTAGAGGAGCCTACCTTCTTCCCCCTGGACGCGATGTCCCTTCAATGTAGCTTTCAGGCCAGATACAGACAGAATGAGCTGGTGTTCGCATTTGGGAGAAGAAGGTGCCACGGGCAGTCCATCTGAGTAAGGGGGCCATCAGTGATGTTCAGGGGTTCCGTCTGCCTAACGGAAAGCAGAATCGATTATAATTTACGTTGCAAGTATCGCTATATTGACAGTCGGTCCAACTAAGTAAAGGGTGTGATTTAAGGTCACGCCGTGTGCTGTCTTCCGAGCACCTTGTTTCGGGAGGAAAATAATAGCGCCCGCTGATCTCAGTGACGACTTCTCGTACGTCCCGCTCACATACAAGTGTCCTTTCCTCGTTATACGAGAAGGGTCGTGATGAGGATACGGGATGTTGACACCCAGTCGGATCAGGACAATTCGTCCACATGGCATAAGTGAAATTGACCACATCAGGACAATTCGCCCACATGGCATAAGCAAAATTGACCACGTAAGTCCACTCAACCCGTCATTCAATCAAATAAGTAAATAGTCACAATGCTACGTGCTAATTGCCTTCCATCCATCATGCAAACCGATCCAAAAAATGTGAGTTTGATCCAATCAAGAAGGTAATCATCATTCATTGAGTGAGTAGTGAGTGTGCATTCACATAATCACAGCAGAATCTTAGCTCGGTCACCTTAGCAACAGCACGATCGACGCATGCATGTAACAGACTTCGCATGCACAAACCATCAGATGTTAGGAGGCATGGAAGGAGGGTAAGATCACTTGGTTTTGCTGGTGCCTCAAATTCAATAACACTCGTTCTTGCGAGGTCCGATTGAATTTGACAGGGACGGGCGGAATAAAGGGATCGTCAGATCGTTTCGGCATTCCATGAGGTGAACGGAAGCAAAGAAATGAGAATGAGAGAGAGAGAGAACAAGGACATGATCATAGCTTTGATCGAAGAAGGGGACTAAGAAAAAGTGAGAGGGAACTCTGATCATGCAAACAAGATTGTGGAGGACAACGACTGGTTATCCACCGTGGACTTAGCTTCTAAAAGAACCAGAAGAAGAAGAACCAAAAATCAAGGTGCATCGACCTTCTGCTCTTTGATTATGGCCCTTTGTCATGCAACGACTCGTACACACACACCACACCCTTCTTACTCAGGTACTGACAATCCCGGCCACCACATACCAACCTCCATACCACAGTGATCGTCTTGCCTAGATCCTGCAGCTCGTCGCAGCCACCCGGCGCACAACCTTGCATACACTGCCTTCAGCTCGTCGGGACTGTTCGACTCGCGGTATAAACATCACCTAGCAACGACTTCCCTGAAGTTGGCAGATGGGTTGAGAGAGAGATTTTCGGATGCGCTTGCAGGTTTTACAGTTGCAAAGAGGGGAAGGGAAGACGGGGAAGAGTGGGGCGGAGATAGGAGGGGGCGAAGAGAGAGTACACGTTAATTACTTGAGGAAAACCATATGGATCCTCGCGAGTCTTTCGCAGCCAATCAGATTACAATGCGCGGGGAGTATCGCTCTTTTTGTTGTCTGAGGCTTCGAGTACTCTGGGGAGGGGATCGGTAGGCAGTTCCTGACTGGGGGTGAAGGCGGGAAGAAAGAGAGCGCAGAGAGTTCCGTGGCATGGGACCAAGATTCGGACGAGAGGGGAAGGGGAGAAGCGTGAAGACAGAGGAGGGGGGGGAATAAAAACAGTTACGGGTGAAAGAGAGAAGGTGCAAAGAAGAGGGGTTGAAGATGGCACGGGTCATAGCGGGAGGTGGGGAAAGCTTGCATACATGGCGCCGGCGCAGAAAAGAAAAGGGCACCGAAACAATTACGTTTCGTTCATCCTAATTCTAAAACTAAATCAAGATTGAAAAATTCAAAAGCAATATCACTGCGCGAAAATCGTACGTCTATATAGCTTCCTACTTAAAACTCACAGAGCTTTCAAAGGCGAGTGCGGGAACAACCACTTGCAAGAAAGGACACGTCAGCCAGAGGCGCGCTCGTAATTTTTTGGAGTTCCCAACCGCCGAACAAAATTCCCAGAGGCGCGCCCGTAATTTTTTGGAGTTCCCAACCGCCGAACAAAATTCCTAGCGTGATCGCTAAGGCGCGCGTAATTCCTACGTAGATGCATGGATTGCCGAAAAGAAATTGCGAAGAAGTCTGAAAAAAGAAACATTGTCTTAGACGTGAGAGGGCTTGGTTGGCCTGCGATTCCATGATTAAAGTAATAGCAAAAAGAGGAGTAACCCCAAAAGCCCAAGGCTTCAGAATATCGTTTGGG